TTTGCCTTATTCGTATAATTTGTACGTTGCACAAACCGGAAAAACAGAACTTAATATCCTCAAATGTAATGAGCAACTGAATTCAGGAGAAGACATAATCTGTGGTGATTCTTCAGGGCCTATATTTCCACTCTGTGGCTCAAGTGAGTCCACTTCTCATCCTGAGACTCTGACACTGGTGAGTTTTATTTCTACTCTTATTTTTCCTTTTTACTGTCTGCCACGTTTTCCTTAGTTGCCTAAAAATATATTACCATGTGTAGTCAGTTGCCTTAAGCAAGTTTAAGCATATTTTTAAAATCAGCGTTTGAGAAACGTGTGAATTGATAGTAGCTAGGAAATGGGCTGAAATCCCAACTGAAGTTTGAATCCACAAGCTACTTTTGGTAGAAAGATGGGCAATCTCTCCTGCTATGAACTGCCTCTGAAACCAGGCTGAATGGTCAGTTGTGAGTTGGTTCCTATTGGGTGGTAAAAACAACAACAGTTTAAAGCAAGTGTTTGGTTTGTTTGGTTTTGGTGTGTGGCTTGATAAAACAGGTGTCTTATCAAGGTTGGTTTAAAAGCAGTGTGTGCTCCTTTACCCACGGGGTAGGAGGAGCATGGAAAATATGCCCTTTCTCTCTTTTTTAAAAGTTAATGCGATTTACTCAGAAATTGTCTCATTTAGAATTCAGCATACCTTTATATTTTAGTACATGCAAGTTCACATTAAATTTATAGTAGCAATAATTTAGCTTTTTGAGAAAGGCAAGTTACTACTAGAACTCTTCCTCTACTGACTGCACAGCTAGGATTTCCATCTTTCTTGTGTTTGTCCCTTGTCTCTTTCTGTAGACATGGCTAGTTAATTCACAGTTCTTTGAATCCCCTTAGACTGGATCATATATGCTGTGTGAGAAAACCTCACTCAATGGACTTGTCAGCAGATTTCCCACACTGTATTTTATCTCTCTCTCTTCAACGTTGAGTCTTCCAATTAGGTTGCCAGATTAATGTCTATTTACATTTCTTCGTGTTTTCTCCTCTTCTTATACAGAATCCTCCTCTTCCTTTTAAAGTTACCAAAAGAAACTTCTTAAAAAGAAAAGGAAGTGTTGTTACCTCTTCCATTGCTTCTCATCTCTGACGCAGAATTGCTGAAAAGGAGCCCCTGGACTTCTGACATCAGTTAGAACTCCACACATCAAAGTGACAGAGGTTTTCTGATTCAGCTTTGCCTTTAAGAGAGAAAGGGCGTCCTGCAGGCTTTCATTCTTAAAGCAAAACCTACTAGGTAGCCCGTGCAACATAGGTGGAGAAGGTAGCGCCAGTCTTCACCTTAGTTTTCCCGAGCAACTGCTTCAACAACTGCCATCTCAGGAAAATTACTTGTTTACAATCTTGGAGGAGATTTCTTAGAATAGCATTTCTTTTTTTATTTGTTAATGATAATATTTTTTGTGTATCCTCTTCTTTCCACCCAGTTATGACATACATTTAAATCCCTGTAAGAATGCAGATCTTAAAGGAGAAGTTTAAAAGTAGGTTACAATTTCACGAAATTGAATAGTGGGATGGAAACTGGCTTTTCACTGTATACTTATCTGAATCTTTGAACAGTTGTAGCCAAATGTTGTATTCAAACACAGTGATCATATTTGTAAAGGCAGGGAACTTTAACAATCACAACAATGAGAATTTAAAAGCCTTAATCCTATTGAAGTTTAGCAACATTAGGTGACAGTATATATA